TTCTGAAAAATAGATCTGGAAGTGCTAGAAAAACAGCTGTATTATAATTTAACATACCTAGATATTTTAAAAAATAAGATATTGAATGCCTCAAATTCCAAATCGATTAAATCCACCTTTTGAAAAATCTCTAACTTAAGTGCCAAAGCACCTGGTATGTTCGTAACTTTTATATTTATGTATAATAACTTTGTATAATGAATAGGCTATAAGCGGATATCGATGGTCACTTACTTTTTTCCCGTCTATGGGAGATGTCCGCTTATGGGAATTTACTAATAATAAATAATATTAAAATGCAAATATAAAAAATTAAATCGCGGGTTTGTAAATCAAAACAATATTTATTCTTCAATTAACCAGAACAGAACGAATGGAAAATAAATTCAAATTTACGGCGTTTTGCTTCCTATCGACAAATCGCATTGCCCGCTTGGCTCAAGCAAGAAGAGAATTTGGTTGAAGAACGCCGTAATTTAGAATTTGGTTGAAAACGCCTTATGTCGGAAAATTTTTCAAGAACGCCTTATCTCAGAAATTGGTTTAAAAACTCCCTATCTCAACTGATAATATATTGAAAATATGTTGAGATAGGGCGTTTTCGAACTGGCTACCGGGATAGGTTGATCTTCTACAAAGGTGTCGATATACAAATTTATTCGTCAAATAATATTTAAAAAAAATAGTGTACTTTATTTGATCACATCTCTTAACTTATTGTTGATGGAGTTAATCGACTCGCTAGTGAAGCATTCAATTACACAGGCCTGCGAAATTTAACTTTATTTCAAATGAATTTTTACTTAAAAAACTAAGCAAGAGACTAAGTAAAAATCAGAGAAATCTATGAAATTTATATATATTCCTATATATGTATGTGGAAACAAACAATTTCGCGATGTGCAACTAAGCCCCTCTTCACTTTGTGAAAAGCCTTTCAAGAAACAAATTAAAAACTTTTTTTTATTCATAAGAAAAATGTTTGACCTATGAATCAACGAGCTATAGGTAGACGGTTGTTTTGCATGTAACACACACATTTTCAAACTATTGCTTTCATCCGAATTTCTAACTTAAACGAAATCATTTTATTTTTCAGGCGAACTACGTTTCTGATCTATTTCAACGAAAATCTTCCCAACAGTATCTGCTGCCACGTACATCTCAAGAAGCTCAACCACAGACGGTAGCCAGTAATGGCCATTGATATCCGGCCCTAAGTTCAACAGTATTTTGCCTTTTACCCGCGAAGCGATTCATTAGACTATTACATATATGTAATACTACAAGTGGCGACAGAATCAATTTGTTCTAAAGTATTTAGACTATTTATTTTATAGAAATCAGGAGAGCAATATATAAATATGTATAGTTTAACGTACGTGTATAAAGTTAATAAATAATAAGCAATATGTATATTAATTTTAAGTATGTATTACTTGACAGTAATTTAGTTTGTAAATGCACACTATTTATGTACGCATACATACATATGTATGGATGTACATATGTACATGAATGCATATCTATTTATGTGTGTATACGGACATACATATGTACGTATATACAACATATACTAAATAAGTAGATACATATATCTACTTATACTTACATACACACGTCGGACTGCTTTTATAGACACATATTATAGAATTTTAATAGTATTCTAATGATCAAAAATTTTGCAAAAGTCGCGAATTTAAAGCTTTCAGATTGCGAAAAAAATAGATAAAAAATTATGTACTTCTTGATTTTAAGCTTATTAAAATTTACGTACATACATACATACACGATTTTAGCTCCACACTAATACATAATTATAATTCGTCTATAGGCTTTGCTTATTTTTACAAAGGACATGAAATCTATCAAATTGGACAGATTTTATGCTGCGATCGCAGCAAAAGTGCAAAAGTAGACGATGTTAAGTTATCGCTATTTAGTGCTCAAATATAACAACAAATAAGTGTGCATAATTTTGTTGTTAGAAAAAGGTAAAATAAAATTACGATTATTATACTAAAATCCCTGCTTTTGATTTAAGCGTTGAGGAAATCAAATTGACCATCGAATGCACTTGCAATATATGTAAGTATGTATAGGTACAGTTATCTACACTAACTTTTAAACTCTTATTTCCGTAATTGATTTCTAAAATAGTGGCAAAATAACACGCATGTAGATTTATATGTGAACGCATTAGGGTGGCCCATAGCCATTCTAATTTTAATTTTTAATAGGTCCCATCCTCCAGATTGGCGAATTTGAAAATTTAAATATACATAAATTGTTTTTTGCTTAACTTCTTATTTTAGCTGTTCATATTTTTAAAGGCACTTATTTAGAAATAAAATAATGTGAGCAATCATTATACTCTTCCAGCCTGTTTGATTGGATCGGCGTGCCAGCCACCTTTTTGAACTTTTCCATTGTTTTTTTTTTTAAGGGAAACTGTGACTGCCTTGGTTTTAACTATGCAAAAAAATGCATACTATATTTAAATTAGATTTCAAAGTTAAGGCCTTACAGCCATCCCTAATTAGCGCGTTGAGCAGTGTTGCGGAAAGCTTTTGCTGAAAAATCGTCATTTTACCCTAAAAAAATCGCCATTTCGGCAAAAAACGTCAAATTTTTGTTTATTATACTTTTTTAACAAAATAAAAATAGAAACAAAGTTACAATAATTAAGACCACACATTTCAAAACCAAGGGGAACTCATAGATATTCTTGACTGAACAAACTCCCTCTGCTGTTTTGCTGTCTCTTTTAAATCAGTGTCAACAGTGCAGATTAACGATTTGGTTACAATCTAGAGCAAATTTAATATAACTAAAAGCACGGCTGTAGAACAAAACTAGATAAATGCATGGTTGTATTTGGGATTTTTTTTTTCCTTTAAAAATTGTTTACATACGTACTTACATACATATGT